TCGTTGTCTTGTCTTCAAGTCCTCCACAAAACTTAAAATGAGGCACTTTCACGTCGTAGTCGTGTATTGACGGCAGAGAAATTTTTGTACAAAAAAGCGTGATGCTCGTGCAAAGTTGTTGTTTTGCTTGTCTTATCCTATTGTTTTTTTGCCGTTGTCGTTGCCGGCGCCGTGGTCGTTGCTAAAGCTCCCAAGATGCAACGCAAAACCATCCGTCGATCGGAAGAGTTTAAATTCATTAAAACCATTTATTTTCAACTTTGCTCGGTTTCCTTTGTTCTTTTTAGGAGAATATATTACATAACCCCTGATAATAAATCACTGTCTGAAACGCTGCTGCTGGCGGCTTTGATTGTAACAGGGGAGTGCAGAGCTAAAACAATAGCTGATAACAGTAACCAAAAAATGTAATATATATTTTCCTTGCTCATATTTCCCTCGTCACATTCCCCGGCTCATATTTCCTTCCCCTAAAAGAAACAATAGGGACTTTAAGCAACGACTACGGAAGAGTCTAGTACAGAGACCAAAACTATTTTTTTCCCACCACTCGCCAAATGCCTCAAGCCTTCAAGGAGCCACGACGGCGACAAAGGTCAAAACGTCGCTTTTTAATAAAAAGTGAATTCGCATTATTTCAAACTTTTTCGCGATTATTACAGGTCGCTTATTTTGTCAACGGTAGGCAAACTCATCAGGAAAAAAAGTTTGTCTTTGTGTTTTTTTACGTCCTCAATAAAACGTGAAATTAGGCATTTTCACGTCGTCGTCGTGCAGTGATGGCAAAGAAATGTTATAAAACAATAAGATGCACGTGAAAATTGTTGCTTTGCTAATCAAACTTATTGATTGGCCGTACTACGTTTTCCCGAAAACGTGGAACATCATGGCGGGCGGTAGTGTCTAGTACATTAACTATTTAGTTGCATTTTACGTGTTTAGAACGCTAGTGTATATTTGAAACAGAATCGCAAGATATACCCATTTTATCCTTTTTTGGTCACCCTTGGAAATTTCTGAAGGCTCATTTTTCGATCATAAGCCCCAAATTCCGGTGTCGAGCACGACACCCATGTGAAAAATACAGCCAAATATGCAAAATACAGTTGACGGGGAAGAGGATTTCATAAGGGATATCATCTCACCAAGTGCTGTGAACAAGACTGATAAAACGCAACCAATCCCTGAATTTGCCCATGCATCGCTCTTTTTTTATGATTTTTTTTTGAACATTTCCTTGCCGTGGGGTCACTACACGGCTTCAACCTCACGATAGTTCGCCAACATTTGACAAAGTAAGCGAGTTGGAATAATCGCAATAAAGAATAAAAGAACGCGAATACACTTTTAAACAACGCTTTCAACGCGATAGCTGTCGTGGTATCTCAAACTCCCTGACTTGAGGCATTGATGGGTGGCGAAAAAATATTACTTCCGGTCACCGTACTGGAACCTTCCGTAGTCTCTGCTTAAAGTCTCTAATATCTAACCTTCCCAGTGAAACAACACAAGTCAGAATTTGAACTTACCACTGACAGGTTTTGGACCTTCACTGCTTCTTCAGAATTTTTCATAGCGCAATGCCTTTCAAACCAGAAACCCGTATCATCAGCCGCGTTATTTGTAAACAAATTTGACACAACAAATCCATCGTTTAAGTGCGAACATGCTGGTTTGCAATGTGACTCGTCGGACGACTAACATAAAAATCTGTCGGAGTGGAAGGTCCAAAAGGGCCTCCAAAACTTCTCTGCCTTAACGTCGTTAAGAATACTTTTTCCTCTGAGTCACTCATTTCTTTCCGATAAAACCACTGTTTGACTACTCCCCATGAATTGACCAATTTCCATATTTTAGAATTCAGCCTCCAACAATTCGAGGCTCTTGGGAATCATCGTCTCTAAAGAATTAATGCTTTGTTAAAAGCGTTTACATTAGGAAACCTCACACGTGAAAAATAAGCATGTTATTTTCTTGTCCCTCAAGGGTATGTGATATATTCACACACCTCCTCGTTGGTGTATACTTGGTGTAGTTGTCTACAAAACAGATACTAGTGGACTCTTTGTTTTATTCAGACACAAAACAATTGCGAAGTTGAATTTTTAAAGTCCTTTTCTATACATTTGCACTTAGTTGTCTTTCTTTTTACTTCATGGCTTAACCTCTTGTATGTTTCTAAAAGCAAAAAAAAGGTTTTGTCGAAATATAAGAGTCCACGGTTTTTTGTTTCAATTCCTTACAGTATTACAAGATTGGTCTATTTTTTTTCTTTTTCCCCCCTTTGTGTTAAGAAGAATTTACTCTTCGGTCTCTCTGAAAACTAAACCTGAGTATAATTGCTTTGAGTTAGCCTGCGTGGCAGGCGTTCGAAAGGGAAAGGGAAGGGAATTAGGGCGCGAGACCACGGGCGCCCAAATTCCCCCTTCCCCTTCCCCTTCCCCTATTAACGCCTGCCACTCAGGCTAGCTTTGAGTGTACATACCTAATTCAGTATCGAACCTTACCTATGGGGTTGTTTCTGAATTTCACAATAAGGTCTCTTAGGCTCTTACATTGTCCTTGAAAACCATGGGCCGGTTATTTAAACCAGTTTAACCAGTGTTAAACAAAACCGCGTTCTAATTCATTTTTTAGCATTAGTTTTTGTTTTATCTAAACACCATTTATCGTGACCAGTTTCATTAAAGCATAAAGCGTAGACTAGAAAAGCATTTATCTTCTTAAATCAACCCACTAAGAACGAGATCTGGAGGTCTAATGATTTTTGAAACAGCGGCCCAAGTTAGACTTTGTTTAAATAACCGACCCCAAATCTTTTGTCCAGGCATTCCTCTCTGTATATCGATTGCCGACACAAAGATCTAAGTAGAAGTGAAGGAAGGGGGGTGACTGAGTTTATAAAAAACAGTAAAACATTAATTATCACGAGAATTTCTGGCAGGGTCGGCCAGGGGGTGTAGTGGTATACTAGTATACCCGAAAAAAATTCGCCAAAATACCCAAAAATACCCAAAATTCATCCAAATACACCCAAAATTATACCCAGGTATACTTCATACCTGAAATTCAAAGAAAGTGATATACCGAATACCCGTATTTAATTAGCTGCAATATACAGTATACCCGATTTAAAAAGCCCCTGTATAAAGTATACCCAAAAACCCTGGCCGACCCTGTTCTGGGGAACTAAGCTCCACCGAGCTGACAAAACTGGAAAAACTAAACTACTGTATTTATACATAAGTAAATGAACTATGTGACAGAAAAATGGGACACACTGAGCGGCAAACTTACGACCAACTTGCAGAAAAAAGGTGTCAAGAAGAGAAATCAGAAAAAAATGATAGTAAAAATAAACGCGCGTGAATAAGCCTATGAAATAGCAATCTTACGCATAATTGAAAGATGAATAAATGTAAAACAACAACAAAAAATGGTTAAACCTAATAATTGAACAACGAATTTGACATCGCAACTAAAAATGAGACCTTTCTAGACAGTAATCGTAAACCGAAGTGCCAAAACAACAAAAGCTACAAGTGTGTAACTAAGAAAAGCGTAGAAAAACTGCATTAACCCATTCGCTCCAGGAGATTTTGCCGAAAAACGCGTTTTAAAGCTGGTCAAGCAGTTTTCTGGTCATTGTGGTGCTACAGGTCTTACACTTGGCGGCCTTCTGATCCAGATGCAAAATATCAGCTTGCGCAGTTCGGGCATGCGCAGAAAGCAAAATTGAGCAGTCTTGACTTTTACTTTTCTCTTTCTCTCCTCTCTTCTTTTTTCGCTTTTCTTGCCTCATTTTTTTTCTCTTGCTGGGTATGTAATAGGCTTCATTCTAGTATGGTTTGAAAGATCTCTTCACTCTGCACAAGTTAGTGGACAAAGTTGTCCGCGACCGTTAAAACTGATGACGTCACAAGCGGTGGAAAGCACGTGGATCGGCACGGGCGGTTCAGGGGCGAATGGGTTAAAATTGTCTATAGACTGTCACATATGGACTATAACAATGAAAATAAAAATTGATCGCTATTCCTACTGTCCTTCAGGTGACTATTGAACTAGTTGCAAGTGCACAAGCGCTAGCTGTGCAAACTACTAGTCGTAAAATAAGCTGCGAAAAGTACGCTGTAATTTTTAAATTGAACTACGAAAAGCTTCAACTTATTTATAAACAGTATAATTTCTTCTTCAGGATACAGAGTTCCTATCCTTGCGAGGAACGCTCCACCTCGTAATCATGTTCACAAATTAAAAAATTGACTTCCAATCAACTTTAGATAGTTAGGAACTGCTACGCTGCATTCTTCATCGTACCTATATACAGCAAAAACAACAAAAAGCAACGTTAGCAAGCTATCAGAAGTGATGGGTGATAAATTCCGCCAGCAAGGTACAATAATATTTTGACGACTGACTTCTAAGTTCAGACTAACTAACTTCAGATTGAATCTTAAACTGTTAACGTCGTCCTATGATTAGCCCTATTAATTGTGAGATTTATCGATACATAAATAGTTTCCTGCCTTTCGGCTGGTAAAAAAGTTCTCTGTTGCACCTCATAATGAATCGACCACCCATCAAAAATACCAAAATCACTTATTTTTTCCACTTAGAGCACCATTGATACCTGGAACCTCTACAAAGCGACCACCTTCCGTAAGAAACCAGCTAATCTTGACATACTGGGTGGTCGCTCAAGGTACGTTCTACTGTACGTTAAAATAAAAAGAAATCAAACGGGGCCACGGACACTTTAAAATGTTAAGAAATCACGAGACTTGAAAGAAATGTTCTCGTGTTTGACTGCCTAAAGAAGTACCAAAGTCAAACTCCTTTGTAGTGAACTCGACCTATGATTGGCAGATTGACGTTAAGTAGCACCAGTTGAGTTCGTTGTCCTATAAAGTGGCAAAATAATTGCTTGTTTTAAAAAATGACGTTTTCTAAAGAACGTAATATGATTTTAGGTTTAAAAAAAGCCAAAGATACCTTGTTATTTATTTGTTGCCCTCAAACTCAACCGTTACGTCATCACCAATGAGGACAAACGGCGCCCAGTACATCACTGCATTAAAGCGGACAGATTCTCTCATGGATTTCATGGCTTTGTTCAGAGCCTCACTGGCACTTCTTCCATTGACTAGTTGTTGGTAGAAAACTTTCATGAACTCCATAGTAGCCTCGTCGTCGATCGCCCACAGGGACACCAGAACAGAACGAGCACCGGCACCCAAAAACGCCCGTGCGATGCCGACCACGCCCTCAGCCTTGATCTCTCCCCGGGCACTATGACAGCAACTAAGTACCACAAGTCTTGCCCTAATCTGCGCCTTTAAAACATCTTTCATAGTTAAGAGATAGTCTTCCTTGACTGGAACCAGGGATGAACGTGTTGTGTTCGGTGCTAGGGCTATTTCTCCTGTTTCCATTTTACCGTGAGCGGCAATGTGCACCAAGGCAACCGAGGAGATTCGTCTCAATACTTCATCCTTTGTTGCCTGCTTTCCAACAAGAGGCGTTGTTTGAAGTATTTCCCCAATCATCTTCACTTCCTTTTCGGCCCACTTCAACTGGGGTAGCTTTGTTCCATTATACCTTACTTCCTGTACCCACGGATCGCCAACGAGAAGGGCGCCAGTCTTGCTGTGCCAGTCTGCTGGACAGTTGATGATTAATCGCAGACTAGAAAGGGAGGGAAGGAGTCGGATTCTAAGGGTTTCACAGAGGTACTTCGAATTCAGGTCCATAAAGGCAGCATAAGGTGCCAAAAACAGAGGACCTGGAGGGACGACCACAACTTCATCACCCTGGATGAAATCCTTAATAGGGTCTATGACGACATCATACAATGTTTTCAATGGATTTGTCTCGCAGAGCGAGGAATCAGACCTTTTCTTGTTGGATCTTTCATCTGATACCGTTTCATCTCTTGGATTGTTTAATGAGCGATCTTCACAGTTAACATAAGCTCTCACTCCAAGAACCTCAAATGTAATTTCTAACAGAGTCTGAAAATAGGTTGTAATAGGGACATCTATCTGCTTTCTTTTAGATTTGATTTCTTTTCCATTTTTGTTGACCCAGAAAACTATTTCTTCCTCGTTGAGCCCTATAAAAACTGAATTTCCTGGTAGGCAATTAAGAATTTCAGGTGAAGTTGCAGTCACTGTTTCTATTTCTGGACAAAAGCCTTTTATTCCATACTTCAGTTCCAGAAGATCATTTAAGGCCTGCGCACGTCCTTTATCAGCGGCTAACAGTGCCTCGACGAGTTTTCCCTTTTCAAACAGCAGTTTCCATAGCTGCGAATAAACGTGATCATACGTACTACCAAGACTAATTTTCCATTCATCATTAGATATCAGCTTACTCCTCATGTGGTCGAATATTCTTATACTGTTTTTATAGTACTGAATGGCTTTTTCGAATATTCCAAGATTTTCATGGACGTAGCCAAGACTAGAGTACGATATCCCCTCTCCTTTCCTGTCACCCAATTCTCTGGAAACTTCGAGTTCTCGTTCATAATATTCTTTGGCCTTTTGGAAATCTCCAACACTGTGATACGCTTCGCCAAGATTACCATACGCTTTTCCTTCTCCTGTCCTGTCTCCCACCTCTCTGGCAATTTTGAGGCCTTGTTCAAGGTACTCTATGGCTTTCTGGAAATCTCCACGCCTGCGATAGGAAATACCAAGATTACCATATGCCGATCCTTCTCCTGTTTTATCCCCCAATTCTCTGGAAATTTTGAGGTGTTGTTCCTTGTAGTCTATGCCTTTCTGAAAATCTCCAAGACTGTCAAAAACAATTCCAAGATTGCAGTACGCTGATCCTTCTTGTACCCTGTTTCCCACTTCTTTACATATGTTCAGATGTCTTTCATGGTTTTCTTTGGCGTGTTGGAAATCCCCAAGACTGTAATAGGCACTGCCAAGATTACAATTCGCTGCTCCTTCTCCTTCCTTGTTTCCCACTTCTCTTGAAATGTTCAAACTTCGTTCATGGTAGTCAATGGCTTTCTGAAAATCTCCAAGACTCGAAAAAACGTTACCAAGATTACCGTAGGCTTGTCCTTCTCCAGCCCTGTCTCCCAATTCTTCGGCAATTTTGAGGTGTCGTTCATAGTGGCCCAAGGCTTTCTGGAAATCTCCAAGTCTGAAGTAGGCGTGGCCAAGATTTTCGTACGCTACTCTTTCTCCTGGTCTTTCTCCGTCTTCTCTAGTAATTTTGAGGTATTGTTCCTGGTATTTTATGGCTGTCCGGAAATCACCAAGACAAAGCTCGACATTGCCGAGATTACAGTACGCTTTTCCTTCTAATACCCTGTGTCCTACTTCTATGGCAATTTGGAGGTATTGTTTAATGTAGTCTTTGGCTTTCTGGAATTCCCCTTGCACGAGATAGACCCTGCCAAGAGTGCAGTAAGCTTTTCCTACTTCTGCCTTGTCTCCTACTTCTTTGGCAATTTTAAGTTGTCGTTCACTGTAGTCTATAGCTTTCTGTAAATTGCCAAGACTGTGTTCGACGAAGCCGAGATTACCATACGCTTTTCCTTCTCCTGCCTTGTCTCCCACTTTTCTGGCAATTTTGAGATGTAGTTCAAAGAAGTCTTTGGCTTTCTGGTAGTCTCCAAGAGCGTGGTAGGGGCCTCCAAGATTACAGTACGATTGGCCTTCTAATATTGTGTCTCCCACTTCTCTGGCAATTTTTAGAGTTCGTTCACTGTAGTCTATGGATTTCTGGAAATCTCCAAGCATGTAATAGGCATTGCCAAGATCACCGTAAGCCGTTGCTTCTCCTGTTCTGTCTCCAACTTCTCTTGCAATCTTGAGGTGCTGTTCATGGTAATTTATAGCTCTCTGGAAATCTCCAATATTCAAGTAGGCTTTGCCAAGATTACCGTGCGCATTTCCTTCTTCTAATTTTTCTCCCACTTCTCTAGCAATTTTGAGATGTTGTTCACTGTAGTCTATGGATGTTTGGAAATCTCCTGTATTCAAATAGGTGCTGCCAAGATTACCGTACGCTTTTCCCTCTCCTGCCCTGTCTCCTACCTTTCTAACAGTTTTAAGGAATAGTTCATGGTAGTCTATAGCTTTCTGGAAATCTCCAAGAATATTATAGGCAATACCAAGATTACAGTACGCTCTTCCTTGTGAAACCTCGTCTCCCAGTTCTCTGGCAATTTTGAGGTCTTGTTCATGGTAGTCTTTGGCTTTCTTAACATCTCCAAAACTAAGATAGACGTTGCCAAGATTACAGTACGCTGTGCCTTCACCTGCCCTGTCCCCCATTTCTTTGACAATTTGAAGCTCTAGGTCAAAGTAGTCCTTTGCTTTCTGGAAATCTCCTAGACTACGATAGGCGTTGCCAAGACTACAGTACGCTTTTCCTTCTCCTGCCCTGTCTCCTACTTCTTTGGCAATTTTAAGGTGTCGTTCACCGTAGTCTATGGCTTTCTGGAAATCTCCAAGACTGTCATAGGCGTTGCTAAGATTACAGCATGCTTGTCCTTCTTCTGCCCTGTTTCCCAGTTCTGTGGCAATTTTAAGGTGTTGCTCGAAGCAGGTTTTGGCTTTTTGAAAATCTCCAAGATTGTGATAGGTAATGCCAAGACTACAGTACACTGTCCCTCCTGCTACCCTGTCTTTCACTTCTTCGCTAAGATTAAGGTGCCGCTCAAGGTAGAATTTGGCTTTCTGAAAATCGTTAATACGGTAATAAACATAACCAAGCTTCATGCACGCTGCTCCTTCTTCTGCCCTGTTTCCTACTTCTCTGGTGAGTCTGATGCATTGTTCAAAGTAGTCTATGGCTTTCTGAATGTCCCCAAGACTGCGATAGGCGCAGCCGAGATTGGTATATGCCATTACTTCTCCTGCTCTGTCATTCACTTCTCTGGTAATTTTCAGATATCGTTCAAAGTAGTCTACTGCTTTCTGGATATCTCCAAGACTGTCATAGGCTTTTCCAAAATTATTGTACGTTCTTCCTTCTCCTTTTCGGTCTCCTACTTGCCTGCAAATTTTGAGGTCTTGTTCAAAGTAGTCTATGGCTTTCTGGATATCTCCAAGACCGAGATAAGCGCAGCCAAGATTACCAAGCGCCTTTCCTTCTTTCTTTTTATCCTGTTCTTCCCTCGCAAGTTTGAGGTGTTGTTTATGGAAGTCAATTGCTTTATGAAAATCTCCAAGACCGTAGTAAATGATGCCAAGACTATTGTATGCATATCCTTCATTTTCCGTGTCTCCCATTTGTACCGAAATTTTGAGGCCTTCTTTGTGGTACTCTATGGCTTTATCGAAATCTCCATATCCGTCATAAGCCTTAGCAAGGTTTCTGCATGCCTGTCCTTCCCCTTTCCTGTCTCCCAGTTCTTGGACAATTTTGAGGTGTTGTTCATGGTAGTCTATAGCTTTCTGGAACTCCCCAAGACTCTCATAGGTGTAGCCAAGTAAACAGCATGCGCCTCCTTCTTCATTCCTGTTTCCTACTTCTCTGGCAATTTTGAGATATCGTTCATGGTTGTCTATGGCTTTCTGGAAATCTCCAAGACGGTGATAGGCGATGCCAAGATGAGCGTATGCACCTCCTTCTAATTCCTTATCTCCCTCTTCTCTAGCAATTTTGAGGTAACGCTCATAGCTGTGAATATCGCAAATATTACCATACGTTGCTCGTTCCTCTGTCATGTCTCCAACGCCTTTAGCATGGGAGTCCATGGTCTTTTGGAATTCAAGGTCGTTGTAGGTGTTTCCTAGATTACAATGCGCTTCTCCTTCTTCTTTTCCAGCCATTTCAACACTTACTGGCCAAGAAGATATGCTGCTCCATGAAAAGGATAGATGATGTTGGGCCACAAAACTTTTCAGGCCTTTCGAGAAACGGGCTTCTGAACCGTGAGAAAACAGGGAGTGATTCTGAAAGCTTGGCTCGTCTCCGCACGATTCTGGCAATGTAAAGGAGGAAAACATCAATTACGATTATTCTGTAGAACCAGCACCCACTGAATTTGAGAAAGTCAATTACTAAGGGCAGCTTGCCCTAGAGTAGGAAGAAATGCACGCTTTACCGAGTCGTATTTTCTGCAGTTTGTGCCGAGGCTGGTAGGTTTACGTACGTACTGACCTTGATTGCATTTGGTTATAATGAAAAAAAAAAACAAACAAAACAGGCAGGACAATCGTGAGTCAGCACCAATTTCACCTGCCTTCTATCCACGCTCGAGTGCTCATTTATGCCCAATCCAAGTTTAGACAAGACGCTACGGTGCGTACACTTCGGCGTCGTGGTTGTGGAACTGATTAATTGTAATGCGGAGGAATAGTAAGAAATGAAATATGGTAAGAGTAAGGTGTTAATTTGTGAAATTATGGAATTTGTCAGGACATTCTGAAAAGAGCAACATCCAAGAGGCCTACTTGCCAAAAACTAGCATTTCGAGACAACTTGTCTCTGAGATACTAGCCCAGTTATGCTCTGATGACTCCATACAAATCCTTCTAAATTTGACGTGGGTCTAAACGTTTAGACCTAGGTCAAATATGAGGTTACTGGCGGTAAATAGCAAGTCTAACAAAAAAAAAAAACAGTGAAAAAAAGAATTCTCTATTTTTCTTAATCACATCAAAAACAGCATAGCAGTCTCATGTACTGATTAAAGATATGTAAGGCATGGGTAAGGAGACAATTACGTTGAGCATGGAATTGGCTAAAACTCAATGTTACGAGTTCGAATGTTTTGAGGATAATTATTCACTGACTATCAGCACGCAGGGATGTCGGATTAACTCAAGGAAGTTTAATACCAAAGAAACAGCCTTTACAGAGCTTTAAAACACAGCATCTGCCAACACAAACTTGACTTGAACTTAAGTAAAACTTAACAGCCTCTGCCAATAATAACAAACTCTCACTTGAACTTCAGGTATCTTACGGCTTCCGCCAACTTGTAAACACAGAACTTGAAATTCGACCTTCGTCACACTTGACTGAACACAGCAGTCCAGCTCGTGGGAAAACTTAGCTCGTCAAAAGAACTCGCTTGGAACTTGCATACCGTTTAACATGAGGTTCTAGAAAATACTAAACAGGCGAATAGTAGTAGCTTTTCGACATATTTTATGATTTCGGTAACGGATGTAAATCTGCTGACTCCTGCTGAAATGTAAACATGCCCTAATTAATTATTCATGAATAATCCAAAAACGTAGAGAACGTTCGAGAACGTCACGCAACGCATGAAAGCAATTTTACTTCGTAACACTCAACAAAGACAAAATGTCTTCGTGCAGCCTTTTGTAACTTTAAATTCATCATAAAACAGTTCGAAAGGAGCTCTTACTCGTGAAATGCTTTTCAACACTGGAAGAGAAATTTCGTGTCTCTGCGTTGCCACGTAATATCCTCTATTTATTCCTCGAGTAAATTAAAGACTAAACTCGAAGTGATCTCAAGATATCACGAAGTATTCCTGTCTCGTTTCGTGAAATAGCCGAAACAAGCCTAAAAGTCACGAACTTGCACGCCCAATCTTGTCCCGAAACTAGTGCATCATTTCATAACTATTTTTCATGTTTCGAACTACCCTGGGTGGCAGTAGCGCAGTCGGCTAATTCCTCAACTTAGAGTCTCCTCTGATCTGACGGGTCACACAGGTGAGTCGGTTCAAAGCCCTGGAAAGCCAAAATAATAATTCTTTCTTCCTCGAAAAAGTTAAAGGAAAGATCAAAGAAATCGGACTGATCTCGAAATATCTCGAACTAATTTGGCTCTCACCTCGTCAAATAGCCGAATAAAACCGAAAACCTACAGATCTGCGTGCCCAATCTTGTCAAAAAAATGGCAACTTTGATACATTCCTGAGTGTCGCGAATCCTTTACTTCGCGCTCCGCCGAAGTAATAAAGATTTGCTTTTATTGTACTTTATGCACAGCGAAATATCAGAGTATACAGTTTTCAGTTCAACTAAGTTTTAGTTCTAAATGAGCTCGTTATCATGTACTTTTTACCATCTTAAACGGACTGCTGTCCTTTATTATAAAACATTGAATTGTTACTTTATTGTTATGTATCTCAGCTGATGATTAAGATCTAATGTTAAGTTCTCTATGCCATAACTTTTATTATCAATGTGAATAGGGGTTCATGCAGTAAAAACCCTCGTTGCTTGTCAAATGTTCGCTTGCTTTTGATTTAGTATATCAATTTAATTATTTTCATTGCTGAAATTAAAAACTGTCACATTCTTTGTAGTTCGTGGATTTTTGAAAAAGTTGTGTCCGCTTATGCCTCCCTATCGATCACTACAGATCATTCTTGCCACTTATAAATTACAACACTAACAAAAATTCGGAGATTTCACCTCGTCCAGCTATTGTCAATGACATCCCCTTGTATTCCTACAATTAATATAGATTACTTTATGACGCTGTTGTGTAAGGTGATCAGCTTTGAGCAGAGACGAAATATACCGTGGCATGGTTAATACAGACATGCCATGACGTATGTATTATCTGGGACTCACTGGGTGTCGGTATTAAGTTGTCTCTCTGGAAAAAAGTCACGGACACATGATATATTTGGCATGAAGCATAAAGGGGACAAAGTGGAGGAAGGGACAGGAACAATGACTGAAGCAAAATGCCAAGGAAGTGAAACGCGTTGAGTAGGAGGCAGAAAATTAATCAAAGAACTACAAACACGGGAATGAATGATAGACGTATCAAAATCAAATGTGTCGTGCGTTCTCTTTTGAGTAGTCTACTATGTTAAAACTTAACCCCGTCGGTGGATAGGTAAGGATAGTTTAGGGATAGGTAAATCATTGATATGCATAAGTGCCTAGTCTATGACGTCAACTCGGAAAGAAGTGCGTTCCTCCATACTAATTAAGTGCCTAGTCACTGCCTTCCTGCATATTAATTATGTGCCTAGTCAGTGTCTTGCTAGCAGGGTAAAAATGCCTTCCTGCATACTGATTCGGTATAGGTTTACTATTGAGCGTCTCTCTACTTCAATAGAAACAATAGGCTTGCCTAGACTTACCCGGTAAGTAACTTGAGCCTGGTTTTCGGACCGTCTATTAAAAGGAAAATAGGAGCGATCACCTAGCAACGCGAGAAACGGCTTCCTATATCTTATTTAGCGCTAAAACTCGGATATATAAACAAAACACACTCACATATACACAAATTGGAGCTGAAAACGCTTCATTTCAAGTTTGTCTGACTATTACAGAACCGTTTTGTCCCATCTATCTCGAGGAAATGAAAAACTATTAAAGTCTCAGCGTTTCACGCACCGTTAGTCAGTTAATTATGCGAGTTCACAAGCCCACCGTTGCATACAAATTAGTTCTACAGGAAAAACCCCAAGAGAGAACCTTGACTTACTATTATAAAAACATAAAATAACTTAACAAAGATCACTTGAAACACGCGACTCATAATTGCTAGCAATAAAATCAAACACGAGATACCGTTTTAAAAACCAATAACAAAAAGAGTCCAATACACAGCGATTTGAAAGAAAAAGGAATGAAAATTAATCCTTTGACTGACTATTACAAATCCGTTTTTTTCCGTTCTATTTCGAGGAATAGTAAATAATCCTTCCGTGTCTACAAAATTTCCCTATGGCCTCTAAGCCAAGAGTTCGACTTTCTTTGTTTCTTTCGGTTTGTCTTGTTCTTTGTAGTTGATCTTTTAGCTTTTGCTTTAAAAGAAGCTTCATTTCTTCGTGATCTTGACAGTTCGTACACTGTTTCTTGTGTCTGCACTGGATTGCGAGTACTAGTTGAGTGATTTTTTCCGGAATTATCCGCTTCACTTTCGTAAATGACGACTTTAACTTTAGGCTGTAGTTTCGCCTCTTGTAAATACTATCTTCGCTGTATGCATGTGGTCTAACTGATGAACATCCGCGAGATGGTTAGCTAATCTGACAAGGTACTTCGCCCCGCACGATGAAATCGGACAGTTTCTGCAAACTCTCTTGTAAACCATGTTGACAGTTCGATGACTGAATACAAATGACATCTTCATCGCAAATAGTCAGGTTATATAGACTGTCAGAAAGGCCAAACACAGGCCAGAAAGGCCATAACAGGCCTGAAAGGCCAAAACCAGGCCAAAAGGGACAAAAGGAGACAAACGGGCCATTTCTAGTCATGTGTCTTTATTTTTTCTCAGACACACGCGTGGGTGTCGCGCGTCGCTAGTCACGCAACAGCTCTCAACATTGGAATCATCATCTTTATTAAGTGTAATCACAAATAACAGTGCCTAATTAGAAAAGTTTTGACCGTGAATTAGTAACTGGTTTTTCAAATTTCAGATTTTTTTTATTTATTGTACAAGTTTACTATTATTGTTATTATTTTCAAGTCAGCAATAAAACATTCTTAAAGTTTGGTTGTTTACAGTTTTTATTGAAACGCAACAATACAAAGGTCCAGGAAAAAATAATTCTATAACATTCATAGTTGGACTAGTCTTCATCTTGTGGAATGGGCTGCTTTTGATACAGTCGATTGAGTAAGAATTTTCGCTTATCGATCGCTAGTTCTGTCGATTCCAACCAATCGAATCCTTCTGTATCTATCAGTTCTTTTTGGGTTTCAATCACTTTTTTGAAGGTGGGGTCTTTTTTCATTGCACGCATCCACTCTAGATTCTCTAAGAGTACTTTTCTTAGCTCTTTTCTGTAAACAGGAAGAAAAGCGTTCTCGGCTTTCACGCGGGCCACATTTTCTGAATCTCCGTCCCCTTCATACTCATTGATCAATGGGTTGAG